TTGTTTTTTTGTTTTTGAAGAAAACGAGAAAAAAAAGTTTTAAAAGAACACAGTTAATTGAGAAATGAGAAATGTTAAAAGGGAAAAGGATTCTCGCTGGCTTATGTGGTTGTGACCATTCATCGTTCATCATCGTGCGATCAATTTTCGTTCGGTATTATTTATATTTTATTAACTTTAAATTTTAAATTTTGAAATGATTTCTGACCGCATGATGATATACGATAAAACGGTCACGATCACGGAATATTCCATGTTAAAGAGACTCTCAAAAGCGAAATTCCTTTAAGAACTTCCAATCACTTTATACTTTTGCATAATATTTTATAATATAAGCATGAAAATTACGTTAAATTAGTCCATAAAAAATCTCGATTTAAAAAAGTCTCTCTAAATTAACTTCACTCAAAAAAAAAAAAGAGTCTCTCTAGATAAATTAGTATATTTATTTATTTATTTTTATTTTTTATAAGTACATCGATATTTTTACATTAAGAGGAGGAGAGATTTGGTTAAGCTACATAATGGACAGCCTAATTTGATATCGAATTCGTTATTCATAAGATTCAAATATAGAACCTCTCACTTTTAAATGAAAAAAAAATACCGTTAAATCGTAGTATTGAATGACTGATAAATTAGTTTGTACCTTGTAAGTTGTAACTTGTAACCTCAAGTCGCCTTGTAGTTGAAACTACTTTTTGGTTTTGTTTTTTGCTTTTTGTTTTTTGTTCCTCTCTCTCTCTCTCTCATAAATATCAGTGTCCAGGGACCAAAAACCGCATCACCCCTCTTCTCATAACTCTTTCCCACTCCCTCTCGCCTCTCTCTTCGAAAAAAGCTCTCGACGCCCAGAGACCTCACCGCCCTCCGATCCCTCTTCGTCTTGGTTTATGAGGTACCTTCTCTCTCTCTCTTCATCTCTCTCTATCGATATTTCCGTTCTATTTCTACTGTTTGATCTCTGCGTTTTAGGTTAAAATCTTATTGAAAAGTTTGTATGTTTTGAGTCACAGATCTGGTTATTTACCTAAAAATCGGATTTTTCGTGGAAATTTTGTTTCTTTGATTGGATTCTTTGTTTAGGTTGGAATTTCGTGGAGGGTTTTGCTCAATCTTTTTGGTTGCTCTTTATATGTTACATTTATTTACTTTATTATTATTTGGGTCTTTCTGGAATTAATCCAAATTTGAGATGTATTTCTTGTTTTTCTGTTCCTTTTTCGTTTTGATCCAGTTTCTTGTGGTGTGAATTAGGATGTTAATTGTAGTGAAATTGTAAATCTTTTCCTTTTTGCTTGGGTGGTGGGGGTCAGGTAAAACTGAAACTTTTAGTGTTAGGTTTTGCACTTTTGCCTTTATACAGAACGTAAATTATAATTTTTGAAAGGTCTTCACAATTGGTCTTCTTAATAAATTTATCTGGGTTGTGAAGGTTAGAAATTTATAGCTAAATAGTCATTAAATTATACTAATTGAGATTTTCTGTCTTTTTGTACCTGCAGCTCGAAGGAGAGACCCACTCTTGGGTAAGTCTTCGTCATATTTTGTCTCATCAGATTTACCCTCTGTGTTCTTCGTATATGCTTTCATGTTATTCTTACGTTTCAGAATCAAGGTTTATCTAACTGATAACTATATTGTTTGTTAAAGAAGGAACTTTTATCAAATTTTAGTTAGTTATAACCTATGACCTTTTGTAAAGACGGTAAAATGTGTTGTTGCATCAGCCTCTACTCAATTAAATGAAATTGATTATGCTGGCAATGTGATTACAGTGGCACGCGGATTAAAACCCGCAAACGGAATATTGCAGCGCCGCTGGACCCTGCAGCTTTTGCGGATGCAGTGGTCCAGATTTATCTGGATAATGCTGGTGATCTGGTAACATTTAGTTATGCATAAATGATCTTATCATTTGTATCTGTATGCATGTGCGTACTTATTACTTAATTATCTGTTAAAACTAACAAGTATCTGCTTTGTGCAGGAACTTATTGCCAAGAGCATTGAATCTTCAGACCTTAACTTCTCAAGATACGGTGACACCTTTTTTGAGGCAAGCTTCATAATACTCTAGGGCACTTTTTGTTTCTTGTGGATGCTACCTTAGATAAAGTGTTTGTGATGTGGTATAAAATTGACTGGAGGATTTACTGTAGGTTGTTTTCACTGGAGGCCGTACACAACCTGGAACAACAAAACCTGATGAGGGGGAGCGCCACCCTTACTCTGTACTAGAGTCTGAGCCTACACGTGAACTCATCTTGCCATCGGTTATCTACATTCAGAAAATTTTGAGGCGGAGGCCATTTCTGATTAAGAATCTCGAAAATGTTATGCGACGATTCCTTCAATCGTTGGAGCTTTTTGAGGAAAATGAAAGGAAGAAGCTGGCTATTTTCACAGCACTTGCATTCTCTCAGAAGCTGTCAGGACTTCCACCAGAAACGGTGTTCCAGCCAATGCTCAAGGATAATCTTGTTGGCAAAGGGCTAGTTCTATCGTTCATTACTGAGTTTTTCAAGGAGTATTTGATTGATAATAGTCTTGATGATTTGATTTCCATTCTGAAGCGGGGTAAAGTGGAGGACAATCTTTTGGAATTCTTCCCTTCCGCAAAGAGAACCGAAGAGAGTTTCTCTGAGCATTTCACGTAAGTTTGATCTGTTATAGAATTTTATTATGGACCAGCTTGTCAGATAAGACTCATTTTTTGTTTTTTTAAGATATAGCTGATGCTTTTGATGTCCTGTAGTATCTTTATACAATTTGGATGACTGAGATTCTGAAGTAGCTGCAATCCCTGATTTGTTCAGCCAACTGCAATGTTTTAGTTGCTAGATTTTGTCTTATAGTTGATTCATCTTTCTGTATGATCTCTGAAATATATTTAAGAGTTTTTGTTTTTCTCTTAAGATATAAAATTAGTTGATTTTCGTGTAGTCATTATCATCAGTCAATTTTAATATGAAATTTGATTATGCGTTGAAAGTATTCTTACCTAGTAGTCCCTTTGGTTTGTCACTCCATGATAATACATCTTAACGTAAATGTTGATGTGATTTTTAATTGTCAATTGCTCATTGATGGGTTTCATGTGAAGTATGTGTTAACTTGAACATCCATTTTGTGATATTCACACCTTGTAACAAAATGAAAAAGGTTGTTTAACTGACACATAATTTGGTGCTTATTTTTTTACCAATTTTCAGAAAGGAAGGGCTAGTTGCCTTAGTTGAGTACAACGAGAAGAAAAATTTTCGAAGTGAAGCTTAAGGAAATGAAATCTGCTTTAACAACCCAGATAACAGAGGAAACCGATATGTCTGAAGTCATTGAGACTGTGAAGCAGCGTGTTAAAGACGCCAAATTGCCCGATGTTGAAGTTGTGCGAATTCTGTGGGATGTCATTATGGACGCTGTGCAGTGGTCTGGTAAGAACCAGCAGCAGAATGCTAATGCAGCTCTTCGCCAGGTATACGTTAGTCTTATAATCGCTTGATACCTAGATAATTTCTGTGTTCTGTGACCTGGAATTTCAAACAAGAAACCGTAGTTAGCCTAGCAGGGGAGGGAGATTCTCCAGCTCTACCCCTTGTTATATATATATATAGAGAGTTAAAAATAGAGTGGAAATCCAATGGGAAACTTTCGAGTTCATCCTTCAGCTTTTAAAGTTCAGGTTTGGCACACTCGTAAAGGGACCAATGTAGGAGTTTAAGTAGTTAACCATGACGAGTTAAGTTGGTATAACTTTAAAACAAATAAAAACAGAACTAAGATTTTTTTAATCTTTTGTTCATGTAGTTCAAAGAAAGAAATCGGTTCTTATGTTCATGTAGGATAGTGAATGACTTTGTTCTACCTAGCTAGAGTAGTATAGATATAGCATTCCAATCTGATGTGTTTAGGATTTCAACTTATTGGTTTTGTTTCTTTCATATTCCCAAGCTTGTTCTTTGTAGATCTAAGGCTGTGCTTGTTTTACGCACCATCCTCCAAATTGATTACTTTGAGATATTAGATCACTGTAGTTTTCAGAAATCGGTTATTTAGTTGCTAACACCATAGTACTTGGTGCACATAAATAAATGGCTATGGTTTAACTTATATACAATACATATGCAGGTGAAAACATGGGCAGAACTGCTGAACACCTTTTGCACGAATGGGAAGCTTGAGCTGGAACTGATGTACAAGGTTCAGATGCAGTGCTATGAGGATGCTAAGCTGATGAAGCTTTTCCCTGATATTGTAAAGTCCCTCTATGACGAGGATGTGCTTGCAGAAGACACCATTCTCCATTGGTTCCGCAAGGGAACAAACCCCAAGGGCAGGTATGCTTTTTGTTTCAACTTTAAAATATCAGAGTTCGATAATCAATGCGTTTGTTTGTTGTTTACATCGGGTTTATTGTGTTATTTGTAACTGTGAAATAACGGAAAATGAATGTGTGCAGGCAAACTTTTGTGAAGGCCCTGGAGCCATTGGTGAACTGGCTGGAGGAGGCAGAAGAGGAGGAATAGATGCAGCTGAAGCTGTTGTTTCTGTCTGTTCATCTGACGGACCTGTACCGCCTGCCTCGATTATCCTATCAAATCTATCTCTCCTCCGAGAGAATCAAACTCATAAATATTCTATAAAACCTAATTAAGCTTAGCCCCTTTGGTGTGCCTGTTGAATGTTGATGACGATGACGATGACGACGACGACGTCGTGAGGATGCTGCATTATAAATAATTTGATGCTTTTGCTTTTATTTCGTTGCACGATGCCATAGTAGATTTGATTCGATTTTGTTCATCACATTTTGATAATTAAATGTGGTATGATGCTTTTGGTTTTATTGCTCGCTCGCTGATGCAGATGATTTTCGCGCACTTATTTTTTTCGTCTGCATATGTACTTTTTCCTGTGTCTTGATGGGATTTGGATTCTCTCCTGAGTTGAGTTCAGTCTATTGAGCCTTCTTAGCAATTCACAAGACCGTTGGATTTTGATTTAATGGTTACATATGGAGGTTTTCTAAAAGTTATAATAATTGTAGCTGTAGGATCAAAATCTAACGGTCTGTGTGATTTGTTCAAGAGGCTCAGCAGGCTAAGCTCAGGAGAGGATCCAAATCTGTCTTGATGTATCCGGGAGAAAAGTGTGGAAATCACAGAACAAAAATCCGATGTGATCAGGCGATGGATGTATATTTATGTACTTGCAGCAAATTGCGAGTTAAAAGACAAACTCAATGCCACTTACTACTACAGTTTAATAGTATTCCTATTCATTTATAAGCGAGATGTCTTATATTAGATTCTTGCTAACAACGAATTTGAATCAACAGCTCAAACCACTATTAAGATATTTCTAAATGGGCCAAATCGAATTGCCTATAAACCTATCCATCACAGCCCCAATTATTTTTCTTAAAAAGGAAAATAAATATAAACAGGTCCAATTTAATTATTTTACTTTTTATCGCGGTAAAATTAAGCTTCATTTGGTTCGTTATTAGTATTACTTACTGCTGCGTACAGCATGAGGGTGGAATACTGAACGGTGAGTATCGTCTATGATCTATCTATGCTTCCAATGGCGGCGTTATCTTTGCCACCAGTGAGAGTCTACTGCAGCGGCGGCGCCGCCACACCCAACAGCAGTATTAGTAACAACAATTTACTCGGCAACCACGCGCTCGATGCCGCCCACATCCGACGAGCCGCCGAGCTGGCCGACGGATCCGCCGGATTCACCTCTCCCCACCCAAACTTCGGGTGCGTCATTGCCTCCAAATCCGGGAAAGTCGCCGGCGAGGGATTCCTCTACGCCCAGGGCACCAAGCCCGCCGAGGTCCTTGCCGTCGACGCAGCTGGCGATTTCTCACGCCGCGCCACTGCTTATCTCAACATGGAGCCCGGTGATTGCCACGGTGACCACTCTGCCGTCTCCGCCCTCGTTCAGGTTTTGCCTTTTTCTCTTCCTTTTCAATTTCCAACTCCCTCTGAGTCGTCTTCTAAGGGAAAAGAAAACAATGATTGAATGTTGATTTGTTTGGATTAGGCAGGGATTGAAAGGGTGGTGATTGGGCTGAGGCATCCATTGCAGCATTTGAGAGGGAATGCCATTCGGGCTTTGAGAAGTCAAGGCTTGCAAGTTGATGTTCTTGGTGAGGACCTCAACAGTAAACTCATTGAGGTATTTGATCAATTCAATATGCTCATTTCATACCTTAGCGAAACGCTTCTTTTCGATTCCTTGGCGAATAGTATAGGCATTACGCAGGGATCTTCTGCTCCCAGTTGAAATAACTACGGTGTGGTTTACCAAAACAAGACTAAAACTTTTGCGTGACATGAGTAGCATTTGAGTTTAACATGTCATATAATTGATCCAACACCAACAGGAAGCACGAAAATCATGCCTCCTTGTCAATGCTCCATTAATTTGTAGAGCTGCTTCTCGAGTCCCCTTCTCCGTTCTCAAGTATGCCATGACTCTTGATGGTAAGCTTTCTTTTAGGAGTAGTGTAACTTATTACAATATGCAATTCTGTAAAGAGGCCTAAAAATTTGAATTTAAACAAGTCTTCTGATAGATTAGTCATTAGTCTTTGTTGGGTGCTAACAGGAAAAATTGCTGCTAGCAGCGGACATGCAGCATGGATCAGCAGCAAAACGTCTAGAAATCGAGTGTTTGAACTGCGGGGTAGAAGTGATGCAGTCATTGTAGGAGGAAATACAGTGCGCAAGGACAGTAAGTATAATTTTCTCAACTTTGTGATTATTCGTGTTAATAGGAGGAAGTTCTGACTTCTTATGTTCTATGTTAATTTTTGGACCAGATCCAAGACTAACTGCAAGACATGGTGGTGGACATATGCCTATGCGGATTGTAATGTCACAGACTCTTGATCTCCCAGAGGAAGCACACCTTTGGGATACCTCTGATGTATCTACTATAGTTGCAACACAGAGGGGTGCAAGAAGGCATTTCCAGAAACATCTTGCATCAAAAGGAATTGAAGTGGTGGAGTTTGACATCTTAAACCCCAGAGAAGTAATGGAATACTTCCATGATCGTGGATATCTTTCACTTTTGTGGGAGTGTGGGGGGACATTAGCTGCAGCTGCTATTTCATCCGGAGTAATACATAAGGTTTGTTTCCTCCAGCTTGTATTTCTTTCTATGAACTCTTGTCGATGTTCTCCTCTTGTCTGCTTAAAACTGATGAGTTAGGGATGTTGTCATAGTTGTAGTTTCTTGTAGGCTGGAGGGGTACATAAGCTTAACCGCCGCTTATGTTGGAGATCCCAGATTTTTCCTTTGTTGAAACTGGATTTGTTAACAGGCATTTTGCTTCTGCCACATTCAATGCATTGCAGGTGTTCGCATTTGTTGCTCCTAAAATTATTGGTGGAAAGAATGCGCCATCCCCTGTGGGTGAACTCGGGATGGTTGAAATGACACAAGCCTTTGACCTAATTGATGTCTGCTATGAACAGGTTGGTGTGGGTTTTTGATACTTCTTCTAGAGATAAATTCTTTCTACTCATATCCCCACTCAGTATTCTACCGTTTGATTGGACTTTTTATTTTGCACTTCTGAACTTGAACCAACAGGTTGGACCTGATATGCTTATAAGTGGATTTCTTCAACCCATACCAGATGTGACCCCTGTTATTCCATCAGTTGATGAAACATTTGAAATTGATCCAACCGTGACTCCATATGAATCAAGGATCATATTCTTTTACAAAACATGGGACCCATACGGCGCTTTCTCAAATTTTTCGCCTCACCAAATTAAGATGCCAGATGACAGTGGTGATTATGAACCTTGGTTGAGTGTCGAGCATTACTATCAGGTATTTCCTTTTGTGTATGAATCTGGTTTCCATCTTACAAAACGTAGTCATTCTCACAGAACAATACTAACGTGTAGGCTCAGAAGTTTGTTGGGGTGGATGATCCTGTGGCACAAGATTGTGTTGAAAATATCAAGTCTGCCAGAAGTCCGGAAGAGGCAGCACGGATAGGAAGGTCAATGCAGAGGAAGCGTCCTGATTTGGTATGGTGCATTGTGCATTTGATTGGATTTTCAGTTCATCAATTGTGTTGACACGTGATGTTAGTCATGACATGCCATGCTGTGGTCCTTTATGGTTCTTAGAATTTCTCAATCAGAAAAAAAATAAAAATGAAGACATAAAATCATGATATTAAGTGATTAACATCTTTTTACATGAACCTAAGATTTCTGCATCCAACGTTAAATGCATTAATAATAATAATAATAATAATAATAATAATAAATAATGAGAAGAAGCAGAATGAACTCATGCTAAACCGGGATTATTTAACATCATCGGAGTGTTGACAATTACTTTTGGTTTATGTTGAATTTGGTTCAAACTTGTCTTGTGTGCTATGCAGGTAAGATGTGAGTGGGAAAGTGTAAAGATTGAAGTGATGTATAGGGCACTAAAATGCAAGTTCTCGATATACCCACATTTGAATGCAATGTTGCTGTCAAGTGCTGGATGTGTTCTTGTTGAAGCATCACCGCATGATCTTTTCTGGGGAGGAGGTCGGGATGGAGAAGGGCTAAATTATCTGGGCAGGCTTTTAATGCAGTTGAGATCAGAGTTTCTTGGTGAGTCTCCTACGTCCAGTTAGAGCATGTAATGCGTAGTAATATAATTTGTAACAAATGATATATTTGTATTGATTTGATTCTCTCCTGTAACTTTATTGTTCATTTTGCAATAAAGTTGCAATTAACAGATGACATAGATATTGTGTGTGCGTGTACTGATTCTCTCTAGGTGATGAAGGTTCTATCATCATCACCCTTCCTAATTCCTTCTCCATTTGGTTTTTCAATGTCTCAAAGAGTAATTTCACTATTTAAAGTTATAAATGATAATATATAAGAATAAACTAGATGAATTAAGGGAGTTTTAACAAAACACTTCCGGTACTGTTCACTTTTAACGAAAAACTACATTTTTACTTTTAACTGGCACTATTCACTATACTTTTAAAAATGGTTTTTTCGTTAAAAGAGAAGTTTTTTTGGACTTTTCGTTAGTTTTCCTAAGAATTAAATGAGAAAATGAAGATGGATCAAGATATTTTTAGAGACATGGATTGATAAAGACGGATTTGTTTTTATTTTATTTATTATTTTTGTTTAGGATTTAGATGTCATTTTATTGCAGGGAAAATTTATCACTAAAATTTTCATCAAAGAGTGGGTGGAGAAATAGGATTTGGGGGTGGGTTTAACATCACTATTTCTGTTTTGAAGAATACTTATCTTTTTATGTACTTTCTTTTTTTCTTGGTTGAACCTTCATTTTTTTAACATATACATTCTTTTAAATTATTCTATATCTATTGTTCAGTAGATGATATTGTGTTACAAAACTGACTTTCATACTAAGTTTTATACTCATAAATTTATAGAAGAAGAAAAAAAATTTAAATACCAAAAGAAGAGTCTTGTAGTGAAAGGGTCCCACTTTAATTGTTGCGTGGGCTTCTGAAATTTCAGAACCGTTCCTAAGTCTACTTAGTTATATATGATTAACAAATGGTCTACATTATTTGTATACGTAACCATATAAGACTGCTTAATTATCTCTTGTAACGCAAGTAACTTATGAATTATTACAATCACGTGGGTAGGTAGCTAGGAGCTACCTAATGAATTTTAATGTCAAATGAAAAAGACACGGTTCTGGAATTAATTAGTATGGAGGCAGATTCTCTGCCCTTTCATTTTCCGTGTCTTTCTGTTTGTGTATTCACGGTTAAATCACATATATTTAGGTGTTGAGTTTTATCAAAAAAGACTTCAGTGATATTAGAAATGGATGCATGATATAGGATCTCATTCTCAAACATATATATATATATATATATATATTATAGTCAATTAATATTACAGTCTGATGTTATTCCTTTTCACTTGTAAGTAAAATGTCTTATATTCGAATCTCATGGATGGTGAATTCGATACCAAATTAGGTTGCTTATTGTATAACTTGACTGATCCTCCTCTCAGTGTAAAATATATCCTTGTACTCAAAACAATATATATAATAAAATGAAGGGAAGATGAGATACTCATAAATTCATACAGATATCATGGGTATATTATACAGCCAACAGGGATAGGCTCAGGGTATCCTTAATCATGTACCCATGCCCATGCTCAATAAAGATGTACCCCCCGCCCTCACATATAGCTAGTGGATATATTAGATATTTTGATATACTTTGTGGTTGTCTTTATTAATTTAAATTATTGGGTGGATGGAGGATCTAGATGAATTATATAGTTCATAGATCAACAATTTTTTTTTTTTAGCCATTGAATTGAATAAGTTAAACAGAATTAAGATCATATACTTTGTGTTGTCTTTATCAAATTAAATTATCGGATAGATAGATGATGTAAATGGATCATAGTTCATAGATGATGGGACCCCCCAATTGAAATTTATTTTTAAGGAAGTGATCTTCACACATATTTGTTAGTTTTTCACCTTTTTTTTCTTTCTGCCATTGAATTGGATAAGTTAAACAAAATGAAGGGTTATGATTAAATATGAGTGCGTAAAAGGCTAAATTATTTTAGATATTTTGATATATTTTGTGATGTCTTTATCAAATTAAATTATCGGATACACAAAAGACGTAGATTGGTCATAGTTTCATAGATGATTGGATACACTAATATTCTCCCCTCCCCGAAAAATGTTGAAATTATTTTTAAAGTGATTTACACACACATTTATTAGTTTATCACACACTTTTTTTTTCTTTATAGCCATTGAGTTAAATAAGTTAAACAAATGGCACGGTCATGATTAAACATGAGTGTGTAAAAGACTAATAAAGTTGATAAATTGGATATTTTGATATACTTTATGTTGTCTTTATTAAAATAAATTATTGGATGGATAGAGGACGTAGATGAATCATAGTTCATAGATGATGGGGATACACTAATATACTCCCTCCCCGTTGAAATTTATTTATAAGGAAGTGATTTTCACACACATTTATTACTTTTTCTCTCACCGTTTTTTTATTTCTAGTCATTGAATTGAATAAGTTAAACAAATGCAACGGTCAGGATTAAACATAGTGCATATATGATTGGATCCACTAATATCTCCCCCAACCCCCCAAAAAAAAGCTGAAATTGTTTTTAAAGAAGTGATTTACACATACATTTATTAGTTTCTCACACTTTTTTTTTCTTTCTAACCATTGAATTGAATAAGTTAAACAAATGTAACGGACTAACGGTTATGATTAAAACATGAGTTTGTAAAAGACTAAAAAAGTTGATAAATTGGATATTTTGATATACTTTGTGTTGTTTTTATCAAATTAAATTATCGGATGGATAGAGGATGTAGATGGATCATAGTTCATAGATGATGGGGATTCACTAATATATTCCCTCCTCGTTGAAATTTAATTTTAAGAAAGTGATTTTCACACACATTTATTAGTTATTCACACACCATTTTTTTCATTTTAGTCATTGAATTGAATAAGTTAAACAAATTCAACGGTAAGGATTAGAAATAAGTGTTTAAAAGACTAAAAATGTTGATAAATGAATATTTTGATACACTTTGTGCTGTGTTTATTAAATTAAAGGACACTTTGTATGCGGTCCCTAACTATCAATATTCTTTAATTGAAATCTTGTTAGTTTTTAGTTTTTGATTGAGGTCCCTGACATTAATGTAATAATGTAAGTTACTATGTTTTTAAATTAAAAATTAAAAATTGAAATTTGTAATTGTTTATATTAATGAGATTTTAAATAAAACCCATAATTTATGGCATTAAAAATAATAAAATATAAATTATACTCTCTATTATATTGTGTGTGTGTGTGTACATATATGTATGGGTACATTAACCAAAATTAACAAAAAAATTATTGTACCAAAACATGGATACATTCTCAAATCAACGAAAAAGAATGTACCCATATAAGTTTAAACATGGATTAAAAAATTTGAATGGATTTTATATTTAAAAAGGGTACATTTTACATATAACAAATTGATATATTTGAGAATGGGTACATTTAAGATTAAAAAAATTGAAAAATTATATGAATGAGTACATTTAAGATTAAAAAAAAATTGAGAATCTTTTTATATATAAAAAAAACTAATAGGTACAAACTTAATTTAATTTAATTTTTTATTATTTTGGAAATGTTTGAATTGAAAATTAATTAGAAGTTTAATAGAGGTGTGAGTATTAAACCCTAAATTAATTACTAATTTTTATATTAAAAATTATATAATAAACATGTAAATTCATTATCACATTAATGATAGGGACTTGAATCAAAATTTGAGAACTAATAAGGTCTTAGTCAATGAACAATAAGAACTAGGGACCGGATACTAATTTTTCCTTAAATTAAATTATTGGATGGACAGAGGACAAAGATGGACTAGTTGATCCATCAAAAGCACTCATGAGAGCACAATAACAGAAAGACTAGGCCCCCCCCTAACCCCCCCCCCCCAAAAAAAAAAAAAAAAAAAATCTTGCACGACAGTCATCATACTATGTTAAAAAACTAGGACTTGGATTGTCTGCCCTCCTCATCCCATGTCCTTTTCATCTCCTTCTATTTTTGTGATCACAGTTAAGTCACGTTAACATTTTATATTTCTATTGCTTTTTGCCTTATTATTTCTATAAAAAATCAAAATAAAATGTTGACGTGACTTAATTGTGACCACATAAATAAAAGGGTAGGAAAGGGGGTGAGACGGGGGAGGGCATACAATCAAGGTCCAAAACACTATTGTCGATATAATGAAATGATATGACTTGATACGAAAGATCTTTATGTCTTTCACGACTCTTTCTATGCCAAGTGAAATTCTAAGAAAGTGATTTATAAACATATTTCTTAATTTCTCACACATCTTTTTTTTTAGCCAGTAAATTAGATAAGTTAAGATAATCAACAATGATAATTAAATAAAAGAGTATAAAATGCTAAAAAAAATGTGTATTTGCCATTTCTCTATTTTTATTTCGTTGTTAGTCACTAGTCGTATTTTCCATTTTATTCATGTTATGATTCACGTGTCAATGAACGTCAAAGTCTGAAAACACCAAACAAATAAAAGTTGATGTGAACTCTGGGACCATTTCCACAATCCTATATATTATGACTTTTTTCAAGTTCTGATTTGATTGATCTATACAGTGTTGAATAAAATACTCGAAATTTAATATATATATATATATATTGTTGTAACGTTTTTAAAATTTTAAATATCACAAAACTATATATTTCATTGATGACTTTTAAATGCCTGGTAATGCACAATTAAGCCTTAAAATTTTAATGCTAAATGGTTTCGTTGAAATATTTATTTTGAGCTTATACATTCCGCTTCGAATATAATATTTTGTATTTACATCTATTGAGTAAGAAAATTCTAAATAAAAATTTAGTTACAATACTTAATGTATTTTAATACAATTATTATCTTTCATGTGAATTGTAGCCAATCTCTCTAAATACGATTTGGCTATTGTGACATTTCACATCGTCCATGAGAGTGATCCTTAAATGTATATTTACATCCCTACCTAGCACAAGGTCTTTTGGGAGCTCACTGGCTTCGGGTTCCGTAGGAACTCCGAAGTTAAGCAAGAAGGAGGCCATAGCACTTCCAGGATGGGTGACCCACTGAGAAGTTGCTCGTGAATTCCCAAAAACAAAACTA